CCCACTATAGCGATTTCAATCGTCAAAGAATCTTTCTTTTTACAGAACAGTCATTAGCATATTATTCGAAAAGCCAAACTTACCTTTCAGACTTTACTTTTCACATCACTCGTTCTTGAACTCTTTGTTTTTCGTTTCTATTTGTCAAACTTGTTGTATTGCCGCTCATTAGTGTCATTCTACGCTGTTGTCAAAGTCTGCAACGAGGTTCGATACGTAGTCGATCGTCGTCATCTCTGCCAGTATCATCCACTATTGACACACCGGAATCAAATCGTAGCCAAGCGAAGTCCGTCATAGTGTTAGAACAATCGCTTTCATTATCGTCGTTGTGTGACTATGAACGATTTATACGACCACATCCGCAGGAGCATAACGGCACGGTCCATGATTCAGGACGCTTTCTAACAGATAGTATCATTTGACATTTAGATACGAACTGATTTTAGATAATTTATCAATTCGCGCTCTTTTTTTCTGTTTAAAAGTGCTGAGTCTAAAATTATGTACGTGCATTAAAAAAATTGTTGTCTCAGTAATTTGTGCGGAATGAGAACATTTAAATTTCAGATCAATCTGATGTTTTAATATTCAGAAATGAGACTCAGCATTGGTCCCAAAACGTTTGCATTATATAAAATATGGAAAAAATTATTCTAGTCATTTCTCTGAAACAAATCAGCAATAAGAGAAATCTTTTCTCGATTTTTATCCGTTTCATCTACAGTATCTGTCAGCAAATTATGGTTGGCAACTGAAATTCTTGCTAAAAGATGATCCGTCACTGCTTTATACTTTTTCTTCTTTCATGAAATTGCATTAAAACAAATAGAAAAATAATTCAGAAAGCTATAAGTTCGGAAAGTTCTTTGCCTGTAACTGCACAATTATGTCTTCCTACTGTGTCACGCATTGTGTACGATAGAATTCATGAAGATATGAAATAAAATAGCCATTCAAACAGATAAAACCATCTGGTTTAGTGACGAAAAGCCAACAGAAATTCAGGATATTTTCACTCACAACACTAATATCACTAGTACTGATCCTGGTCGGTTCAGTTTCTATTCTATCGTCTAGTACGACTAGTATTTCAAAAAAGAAGTTAAGAAAGTTATCTGACTTTACTTTATTTTACTAATAAGTCTTCATACTGTTCATATTTTTAGTTTTATCCTTCAAAATCAAGTGGAGTACATTTTTGTATACGTAACCGACCATAGATATGATTTTGATCTTTGAGAACTGATGACAATAATTGACGGATATTGAAGACGAAGATTCCCATTCATTTTTGCTTATTTTTCTTTGAATACGGTAATATAATCACATAGTTGAGCTTATGATTTCATATAACTGATCACATGCATACTATTATCTATAATGGTTATAAAAGATACTAATTCATTCGGATTGAATAGATAAATCTATTGATCTATAAGAAATACTATAAGTTTAACATTTGCATGGTATACTATGTATGATCATATAATGAAAAGTAAATCTCATTTTCTTTTTTTTCTCCCTGTGTATGACTATTGCTTTGAAGTTCTGCGTCGATTGGCAATTTGAAAACAAAGAAGGAGAATGTGTACCTATCCTACATTGGTCTCTAACGTTGAAAAATCGATATAAAGTTATTTCATGACATCTTTCCATCAGTATTTTCCAATCTTTGTTATTCGCTTTTACTCAAAGGTAGGCTTGGATTGTTTTTATAAGACTATATCATGAACTGTTATTATTGACAACTGTACAGTAGATTCAAATATAGAAATACATTGTTGCTAAAGAAATACTTTCAATCGTTCGAAGAATTATTTCGAGAAAGGAAAAGGAGAATTTATAATTGAAATGATGATTAGGAACATGCTTTGTTATTGTCTGTTCAAGTTATTTAGTCTAATATGATGGTAACACCGATGTGTTTGGGTAAGATTGTATCCGTTTGTTTATATCCACCCGCGTTGAGTATAGGTCCTCCATCACCGAATGTGACATGTTGCATAATTCGCGCAAAAATGGCTTTAAGTTCAAGTCGTGCAAAATCTTGACCGAGACATTGACGATGACCACCACCAAATGTCAGGAAAGCTATTTTGCTGTTGTCATTATTGTCATCAATGAGATATCGTTCAGGATGAAATTGCTCCGGATCCATTGGTCCCAAGCAATAACGTTGATCTCTGTGTATATTATAAAAAGGAATAGCAACTTGATCACCTTTGCTCAAATAAGCGCCAGTTGACGGTAGTTGATCATCAGCAACCAACGTTCGTAAAGTACCGAGAGCAGGTGGTACAAAACGAAGTAATTCACGAAATACACAATCCAAATAAATCAGTGACTCAAGTTGTTCCATTGAAAGGCGTTGATAGTTGTATTCAGCTAGTTCTTTTTTAAGCTTATTCTGCACATGTGGATGTTTACTCATCAAGAAAATAAACCAGGCAAGAGCAGTCGAGGTTGTACTAAAACCAGCTGAAAGAAACGAAAGCATTTCTCCAATCACTTCTGCTTGAGAAAGACCTAAAAAGAAAATAATATGAAGTGTGAACAATCTTCGATGCAATCCTTAACCTTTCTTGTCTTCTTCTGATTTCTTCTCTTCAAGCTTTTCGTCTTCTTGCAATGACGCCACTAATGAACTGATCAAACTGATTCTTTTACGCTCGACTCTCACTGCTGGTGTTTGTCTTAACTCTTGTTCGATCATGTTCTGCAAATACCGATCAATGATCGATTGTGCTCGTCGATACTCAAGATTCAACGACAAATAAATGCGACCAATGATCTTGGGCAACTGGATAAGAGTCAACCCTGTTCCAAGATAAGTATGTAATGCACGAGTGAGCTCATTCTTATTGCTGTTAAATTCATCGTCAAGCGTTTGAAGATCATAATCAAAACCAACGTAACCGAAGATAGCAAGCAATAGTTGTTGTGATTGTTCAATCATATTTAAATGAATCTGTGTTGGATCATTGTTGTAATTACGCCAACGAGTCAACAGTTTGTCTGTACAATCGTTTATCATGTCCAAATGTGTGCTGACTTTGTTACGACGAAACAATGGACCGACGATATTGATATGACGCTTAAATTCCGCTCCTAAAATTTTCGAGAAATAGTCATCTATACATTGACTTTCGTCTTTTCATATGAAACATATCGAGAAAGAGTGATACAAAAATAACAAAATGAGTATGTTCAAACCTTTCATGACAAGAATTGCATATGGATTGAGAAGACTGACTTGGTCGACAAACAGGTCCGCTTGATCATAAATATATCGATGACTAAATATATGTTGAACATCTTCTAGACGACTAACAACAATGATACGCGTAGGACCGAGCCAATATTGAAAAATGTCGCCGAATTTCGCTTTCAGCTCCAGAAATATCAGATTCAAAGAAACGTTTTTCCAGACAACGCCCGTTTGTAGCAAATTGCCAAAGAGAAAGTGAGGTGGCAAGCCTGGTATTGGACCACGCAAAGTGAAATAGACACGTTTTACGTAGTAGCATAATACTGTTATAAAAAGGGCGACGATAACAGGCGTGAGTGGTAGCATATTTGTCTTATATTTATAAAAAACGCGTGTAAATGTAGTACTCAAATAATCTGACAGTCATTTTCTTTTTTTCTATTCTCTTCTCTTCGTCGAGACAAGAAAAATCTTGTCAACAAGAAACCCATCGAGAAACGATGGGAGCCAATTTTTTTTTCTTTTTCTTTCTTTCTCTGATGATTTTGTTGGTACCGCCTAGGAGAAAAAAAAGTATCAGAAGAGGCAAAACAAGCGCATCTTCCATAGTAGAAATACAAGTGTGTCACTCTTGGGTATGGGAGAAGATTTTTTTTTCTCTTTTTTTCGTTCTATCCATCGACGTTCTGGCTTGATAGACGGGCAATGTCAGTATTTCTTCTTCTTCTCGACAACATGATCATTGTTTTAATTTCTGGACTAGTTTTCATTTACGAACACAAATAAAATCAAGTTTAAATACAATAAAATTGTCTTAAATTTCTCTTTGATTATGAAATTAATAAATTTACACATTTAATAGAAAATAAATTTTTTTAAAGCAAAATTCTCTGCAATTTGTAGAAAACTATTTCTAATATAGTGGAAGAGTATGTGGATTTCTTTTTCCTATTAAAACTAACGATTAAATGTTTGTATGAAATAAGATTAGACATATTTACAAACTGAGTCGTTAAATAAAAAAAAAAGTATTATTGCCGATTGGATTTAAAATTAGCTTTTTAAAAAAGAATGAAATATTTTTAGCAGATCTTGAGGGTGTGGGTGTGGGTGTGGGTGTATATCTTCTATCATTTCAAACCCACACCCACACCCTCAAGATCTGCTATGAAATTCATTATAAAATCAAATAGATTAATCTTGCATCATCATCTATGAAACGTATTCTTCTTGCTACAAATTATCCAAATTTATATGAACTTGGTTTATATAATCTTGACAAAGAAACAGCTAAATCTCTCGTTACTGATAAGATATTTTACGTAAATTGTCATAATTCGTAAAGAAATGAGGATTATATAAAAATTAGCACAATTCGTTTAATAATATATTTAATTTAGTTGAGTAGATCATTGAATATTTTCTTCATAATCAATTAGTTTTATCTGTAATTTATATTTGATTAAATATTATAAATAAGAAAAAAGCCTTTTTAATAAATATGGCTATTGATTTATAGTAGAAATAAGATTTTTCAAAAATATTTCGGTTTATTGAAATATTAATAAATTTTTGAATAAAGAAATAATAAATATGAATACCGTATGGTAATATTTGGAAAAATAATAAATATTAATGTAACAAAATTAATTGAAAAAAATTAAAAAAATTGGAACTACGATTTGATCAAGCTGTACAATGGTTCCTTGTTTGTAATATTTTGTATTTATTTTTAGACGAAAATCTATTAAATCATACACTTAAAAACCAAATTTCATCACTTATTGTCAATATTAGTAAAAATGTAGGACACAGTTCAATAGATAATGTAATTAAATGTGCATTTACACATATTTTGACCATGTTCACTAATATAAAATATTTGAATTTTGATGAATCTTTACGCTCTGACCAACGATTGTCATTTTATCTGTCACCTCCAAGTGTTATCTCCTCTACTCTCTTAGAATTACATGTTAGTTTGGAATATTTTTCCGATTGTCTTTATTTACTTGATGGAAGTTTCAATCAACTTCATACACTTTATGTTTATATTTCTAAGATTCTTTCTTCTCATTCTTCCTATTCAGAAAGAATCAAAATAATTAAACAAGTAAATAATTTTGATTAATCTTTAATTTATTTGAATGAAGCAATATTTGTGTGTGTGTGTGT